ATTTACCTAATTCTATTTTATTTGTTTTTAATCTATTGTTCATTTAAATATTATTTTTATTATTGCAATTATATTTATAATTTTAGATATATATTCATTACAAACTAAAAAAAATATAATCAATAAATAGTAATATCTTATTTTATTTTATTATTTAATTTATATAATTTATTTAATTCTATTTTATTATACTATTCATTATTTACAATACTTTGTACAAAATGCATTATATTAATATGGTATATAATAAATAACAAAATATATAACATCGAATTCAATAAAACATATATTTAAATTTAAATATATTTATTTATTTAGTAAATATTTATTTAATATATAACTAAAATTTAATTAAAATTAAATACGGTAAATCAACATAAAAACAACATAAAATGATAAAAGTTGAATAAAATAAGGTAATAAAATAATATAATATTACTTATTTATTTATTTAATCATAGATTTTTGTTTCGTAATTATTACATATTTGATATATAAATAATGTATAAGTTTTATAATTAAAATTGACATAAATTGAATTATCATTATTTTTTTTATATTTTTTGGATAAAATTATATTGATTGATATATAATTGAGTTCAAGTATTTCACGTAAGATGTTGTAGATCAAGTGGCTAATGCCCCTCTTTTGTTCTAAGAGATCCAGTGTTTGAATCTAAAATTTGATCATTTTTTTATTATTCCACCACCTAATTGTCACGTTAGCAAAAAAAAAAAAAATGAAATTACACGTAGGCAGTAATTCTGCCACCTATCTGTCACCTTAGTGAAGAAAAAATTAAATAAAATTTACATGTTGGCGGGCCGGTCACGATGAACTACTACAGGCGGTCGTATGACCAAAAAGTTATTATTTTTTTTTTTTCACCTAGAGAACTATTTTAATAAATGGACTTTTAGTGGGACAAAAAAAATGTCAGTTAAGCTAAAAAACTTTCTTTGCCTAATATTTCGTCAAGGAGAATTACAAACCAAAAGGAAAAAACCAAAAAGTGTCAAATTAAGTAAAAATATTAAAAATGTGGACAATTGTCTTTATACCCTTAAGTGCTATGCGCACTAAATACACGCACATATAGTAAACAACTCGAGGTTTTGGCGAAATTGGCTTTAGGACTCGCGAGCCACGCGAGTGCTTGCTAAGCAAAGAACTCCATTCATTGGGGATAAGAAGATGAAAAAAAAAACTTACTACCTTCATTGTGGGGGATAAGAAGATAAGAACTGTATATGATACTTTTTATTTAGGTATTATGATTATTTAAAAAAAAAAAAAAAACATGATGTCAGTATACAAATATGATACTATATATACATATATGTATTGTTTTAAAAAAAAAAAATTCTTACTATAAATAACATTAAAAAAAATGAGCTGAAGCAGTGATTATGCAAGCCACCTTTGAGCTACTTATATGATTTGAACACTCTTTTTAAGCTTTGATTGATAATGAGTTAGACTAAATAACTTTTAATTCGAATAATGTCAGTCCAATTCTAATTTATTTTTGTTTAGCATCGATACTATGGAGATTCAAATCCTTTTGGCTCAATGGAGAAGGCCATGGAAAATGATACAATTTGTGGATATCTTAACTCAGCTCAAGCTTTAGCCGATTATGCCGAAATTTTGTTACACATCAAGAAATCTTTATCAGCAGAATATTCGCCAATTATTGTCGTTGGAGGTTCATATGGAGGAAGTAAGTAATTTGATACAATTGTTTCTTTCAAAAATGATAATATAGAGGAAATTATACATATATTGTATTTATTTCAAAAGTAGAGTTAATCGACAATTTCGAAATATCCTTCATTTTAGTGTTAGCTTCGTGGTTTCGGTTAAAGTATCCACACATTGCTCTTGGTGCTCTGGCCTCCTCAGCCCCAATTCTTTACTTCGACAATATCACTCCGCAAGATGGATTCTATTCCATTGTGACCAAAGACTTCAAGGTACCTACTTATTCATTTATTTTTATATTAAAATTTTTGTTCCATATATTGTTTGAATCTAAAGTTTATTTGATGATTTTCTAAAAAAAATATAATTTTTTCGTTTAAATTTGTAGGAGGTTAGTGAGAATTGTTATCGTACCATAAAAAAATCATGGGCAGAAATTGACAGAGTAGCATCACAACACAACGGCCTCGCCATTCTCAGTCGAAGATTCAATACTTGCACGTAATATTAGATAATGATATATTTAAATTTATTAGGCTTCTAACTTCAAATGAATCTCCTCTTTTCCTACTTTATATATATATATATATGTTATACAATTAACCATTTCTAGTTAGATAAATATATATGCATCATTTACATAAGTACGTCAAATTAGTGAACCATTTGTGATACTTTTCTCATTTCCTACTGACTGTTTAACTAAAATTAGTGTGTTTCGTTGATTGCAGCCCGCTGAGCCACTCATATGAACTAAAGGACTTCTTGAGTGATACGTACACAAGTGCAGCTCAATATGATGCACCACCAGATTATCCAGTATCAATGATTTGTGAAGGGATTGATAAAGCTTCTTCTAAGAAAACTGATACTCTTGGCCGTATTTTTGCTGGCATTGTCTCTTATTTAAGAAATCATACATGCGTGGGTACAAATAACTACAATATTCCATTAGAGACTCAACTTGGATGGGCATGGCAAGTAAGTTGTTCATTTTAATAAAAAAGAAATAATACTAAATGAATGTGATGGATCAAGAAGCTATAAGAGGAATGGTCATCAAAAATCTTTTTCTTTTTCTCATTTTTGCATGCTCAACAGTAGAACAGATTTTATGCATTCTCATTACAGTTTTGAGTCTCTCAGCTTCTGTATATTGCCTTAGCGGCTGCCTAGCTACATTCTATGGGATTTATGGATGATCTAAAATGATCCTGACCACTCATCTATCTAGGTAACAAATTTAGGGTTACGTTTTTGGATCTTTGCTAAGTGACAGCTAGCTCCTCTCTCTCTCTTGTACTCTTGGTCACGTTTTTGTTGTGATTCTTTGTCTTCATGCAAAGCAGGTCTAACCATGCACATGCTGACGTGGCATTGCTGGTTTGGAGTCAAGCTCTTAACATCCCCCTTCAATTCTATGCATGTGGAGGAAGATAACTTTAGTTTGTTTCTTAGCCATGCAAAGAATTGCCCAGATAGAGCTTTGGTGAACAAGTCAGCGACTTGCTCACTTGCTGGTATATGTCTCACTGCAATAACTCCTGAGTTGATCTTCTCCCTCATGAAATGGAGGTCGATCTCCAAATGCTTAGTTCTAGAGTGATTCACAGGGTTAGCTGCTAAGCACACAACACCCCTATTATCGACCAAGATTACACTTGGTTTTTGATGTTCAATCCTTAACTCATGGAAAAGAGAGTGCAACCACATGATTTCACAAGTAACTTGAGCTGCACTCCTATATTCAGCTTCTGTGGATGATCTAGAAACCACATGTTGCTTTTTGGAGATCCAAGAAATCAAATTTCCTCCCATGTACACACACATCCCACTAGTTGATCTTCTATCATCAGGGTTGGAGGCCCAGTCAGCATCTGAAAAGCCAACCAGATTGAAGTTCTTACACTTATCAATTTTCAGACCATAATTTCTTGTTCCCACCAAATATCTTAATATCCTTTTCACTGCCTTCCAATGCTTATCTAATGGAGAGTGCATGAATTGACAAACTCTGTTGACACTAAATGTTATATCTGATCTTGTGAGTGTCAAGTATTGTAGAGCCCCAACAGTTTGTCTATATAGAAAGCCATCATGCATAGGCTGTCCGTCATCCTTAGATAAAGGTGGATGAGATAACATAGGAGAGGAAAGACTTTTGGCCCCCTTCATCCTAGCTTTGTCAAGGATGTCATCAATATATTTTGTCTGGTTGAGGAAAAGACCAGAGGTTGTGTAGGAGACCTATATACCCAAGAATAAATTGAGAGGACCAAGATCTTTGATGGAGAATGAGGTTCTGAGATGAGCAATGGTGGACTGTATAACAGAAGGATCACTGCCTGTGATTATGATATCATCAACATATGCTAAGATGAATGTTGATGAAGTTGGACTGTGTTTATAGAACAATGAAGTGTCAGCTTTAGAAATAGTGAAACCAATAGACAAGAGGGCTGTACTGAATGCTGAAGTCCAAGCTCTAGATGCTTGCTTTAAACCATAGAGAGACTTGTGGAGCTTGCAAAAAAGACCTGCATGAGGATCAACTTCAAAGCCTGGGGGCTGTTGCATGTAAATCTCCCAGTCTAGTATGCCATTCAAGAAGGCATTATCCACATCAATTTGTTTGAGCTGCCAACCAAGAGAGGTTGCAATGGAGAGGACAACTCTAATAGTTGTAGGCTTAACTACTGAACTGAAGGTGTCTGCATAATCAATACCAGCATCTTGTGTGTAGCCTTTGGCTACAAGTCGAGCCTTATACCTTGATATGGAGCCATCAGGGTTGGTTTTGGTTTTAAATACCCATTTGCAGCCAACAACATTGTGGTTAGGGGTGAAGGAACCAAAGACCCACTGTGATTCTTTTGAAGTGCATGGAACTCCTCTTTCATTGCTGTAAACCATTCTGGTTTGCTTAAGGCCTCACAAACTGTAGTGGGCTCCATGTGAGAGGAAACAATGGCAGATAAAATCTTGGGCTTGTAAATACCAGACTTTGACCTGGTAACCATTGTATGAGTTCCTGTAGTAGATGGATTAGAAGTAACAGGTTGCTCTATTGGTAAGTCTATGATAATTTGCCCAATAGGTATGGCTGGTGAAGAATGAGTTGAGGTAGGTGAAGAGTGAGAGGATGTGTTACTAGATGGAGTGGAAGGAGGGGAATGAGTGTGGTGAGAGCCTGCTGAATTAGAAGGAGAAGCTGAAGTTGGTGTGTGATGGTTGGAATGTGTAGGGGTGAGAGGT